TGCCTTAGGATTCACTAGAGTAAATGTTACTGACCGACTACGATAGTATGGCTGCGATCAGTGACCAACCAACTTGGGGATGATTCTGGTGTGTGGTGCTAATAATCAGTCACGATAATAACATTCTGATCAAGATGATTATTAACAAGGCCCTCATGGTAGTCTGGTGTGGTCATTCCAGAATAGACGACGTATATGACCATGCCGTTCGAGGCGAACGTCTCTTGTAGGTGTACTTTACTTTGACCCACCTGATAGCGGCCTTTCCAGTGTAAGAGTCAGCACAGAATGTAACTCCAAAAAGTGATGCTAAAGACGACGATGGTAATAATAATAACACTGCTAATTGCCATGAAGATCAGAGATTGATGGTATTGATTGAGGAGGATAACGATGACAATAACAGCGGATGATCACGATTGTGATATAGATTGAGATGATGCCGTTTATGATTGTGGTAATCAGAATGACAATTAGTAGTCATGATAATAATGAATTCTAGTCCCATACTTTTCAACTGTAAAGTGAAAATCCTACCTTCGCCGGTTATTAATACTTGTATTTGACTACGCGTACGTACATAAGTATATGATAATGATGATATTTTCTTGATATTTAGACATCTGCCAAAGCTGAAGTTGTGAAGAAAGAGACCTTCGCAGAGGTAGATCCTTTTATACAAAAGTACTTGACTCTCACGAAAAGGTCTAAAGAACTGAACAGCGTATGTAGTTTAGTTTGTTATTGCCTTCGAGTTCGCTGCTAAGATGCGTTGGTTATAGAAAGCCGCAACAGAAGCCGAAGATAATGAAGATTTAGAAACCGCTGATTTTGAAGCTGGAAGGTAAAATGTGCCAAAATTCGGATCTGATTTAATAAGGCTTTTCTCTAACCCTCAAAGTTTCGTTTCAGCGTGCAGGGCGGAAACGACTTCGATTGGTAACGATTCGTCGATTGTCTGAAATCTGCCTCCGCATTCTGTTACATATCTTTCAGTGAAAGACAGAACGTATAGGAAATAGTGAACGAACGTATAGGAAATGAACTGAATGAATAAAATGAAAGGCACTGATTTGTTACACATTTGCAGATTTATTTTTTGTACTGCTATCGTGTGACGATGTTATTTTCTATTGCATACCTAATGTTTTCTCATAACACCATTTCTGCTAATTTCAAATGAACGCATTCACTTCAAGATGCATCTGGGATAAAAAGTCACTATCTTCTTGAAAAACTGATGTGAAAATAAGATTTACCCTTGTTTCTTTTGATTGATACGAATAATGGTCCCCTGTCTTTTCCCGAATCTTTGATCAGTAGCTTTGTTTCTAGAAACATTTGTGCATGAGATGTACACTATAATGGTGGATAGTTACGAATCTCTTGTCGAACAGTCAGCGGCTTATTTCTTCGGTTCTTACCGACAGATGACGAAAAGATTTTTAATTGCATAGGAGCTTAATTCGGACGATGGCCGTAAATCTTTCTGAAGCTGTAGTCGTAGCGTTCTTGATCTAGACAGCTTCGTAAGTAAATCGTCCTGTCCTGCTACTGTAACTACCAGTCACTTTTCAAGGGTCAACAAATTTACTTCTTTGGTCTCTACAATGGCTGATCCTGTTAAATTTGTATGTAGCTTGTCAAGCTGATAAGTCGCTAACATTTTATTTGGCTGTCAAATGACGACACTTATTGCATATTTTTGGACGTCACAAGGTAACATGGTCACGTCATCTTAATTTCAGAAATCTGTTTCACGGTAAATGATCTAAGTTGAACCGGATCAAACTGAACAAGACCACTGAATTACCTTTTCTAGCCATAGCCAGCAATGTTACTGTCGTAATGCAGACTAAAACACAGCACATATTGATTTTGAACGTCCAGTCTGAAATTCGACGGAGGGGTAAGCAGTATATAAGCCCCGCTGCTAGAGGCTCTGCTATGTTACGACATTTCATGGAACACTTTTTTGACACTGTAACAGCTATAAAATAACCGTAAGCATAAAATTTTAATTGCATAATCAACACGCGAACAATGTACAAAGATCAGCTTTCCTATTCAAGGACTTTACACTACAGCAAGTTAGGAAAGCGTTACCTTGAACATGAAGGGTCAGTCGGATCATACTGGTCAATTAGGCGGGTTTGGAGGTGGAACCGAAGTTGCTGCCATCGTCGTTCGGCGTCTTAACGCCGTAGCCTTTGGCGTAGTACTCTTGACGTAGCTTTTTGATCGCCTCCCAGTCCTCGCCTTCGGCCAGGCACGATTGCTTGTCGATGTAGTCGGTTTCGGGCAACTGGAACAGTTCCTCGACGGTCATCAATTCGGTCCAATGAGGAAACTTGCGCCTGCCGTCCGGAAAGTGGTTGTCGGCCGGTCGCCACTTGGCTTTCGCGACTGCCGCCCTCACATATGCATCCGCATCGAAGCCCAATGCCTCGGATAGCATGACGTTCATGCGTTGCCGGAAAGCGTCCTCCTTGCGTTGCTTCTGCTGCTGGTGCCACTTCAAGTATTGGACGTAGTCACGTTTCCTTCGCTTCTTGCGCCAATGTTTCTTGATCTTTCGACGGCGGATGATCAGCATCCGATGAGCATGTTTCTCGTACCGATGCTGCGGAATCGATGGCAGGATCACGGGCACGGAAACGTTGACGCGTGACAGCGCCGGAAGAATCAGACCACCGCCGCCTAGATGTCCGGGAAGCGGAATAAACGGTATATACTTCAGCTGATCATTAGACGGCAACAACACTCTCCAGGGTACCTTTCGCTGTGCCGGTAACGAAACAACCTTGGACGACCTAGTGTCACACTCTCCAATCGATACTATCGGCAGCAGTGGAGGTACGACAGTACGATGGCGTCTATCAGCGGTTGACAACGAGCTGCATACTCGACAGGCTGAAATTCAACGACGTCATCAACTGGAGAAATTGAATACATGTTGAATCGTCTCTGAGACACAAGCATACGTACCAGAATTT